AGGCACTCAACGTGTGGTCTTACGCGATGCACAAGCGTTGGAACATTGTCGCTGACGGGCGCCGGTGTTGAGGCGCGCACATTCCAGCATAGTATGGTTGCGCTATCCATGAAAACTGTTCAACCGCTGCTCGTGGCGGGACATCACGCGCGCATGCACGCGCGGCGCCGCGGCCGCTCCACCGGACCAGCAACCAAGAAGAGTTCTCTCATGGCCTCTGCGTGCGACTCGCTTAGCTGATCAACAAAGATGCTGTCGTACACTTGTTTGCTGGCTGTTGACGGCTTTGCTCGGTCTTCCATCATGCCCATGAGCTTCATGACGAGTATCTCGCCTCGCTTTGAGGCTGGCACGCGGGACAGTGGCTGGGCAGCAATCCGTCGGCTTCTGGTGGGCATGAACGCCTTCGGCTGCTCTGGCTCAGGAACCGCGAGTAGTGGAGATGGCACCTTCCGCAGGATTTTTGCGGTGAAGCGTTTGAGCCGCTGAGTCGCCAAGCTTCCGCGGCTGGCCTGCGCCGGAGGCGGTGAGACGAGGGGGTCGTCACCGCCGTGGCCGTCGATCATGGTTGGCCTGCGTGGGCTTGGGGTGCTCGCGATGGTCGTTGCGGCCACCAGGGGATCATCCTGGACGCGGGGTGGGCCAGAAGTGGCTTTGACGGGCTCAACAGCTAAATCTTATTTGTATTTAGTGCTCTAGTTTTGATTCATTGATTGCCAATAGCTTGCATTTTTGTGCTAACACTGATATCTACCTTGTCCATTGCAGCTATGGTTGGTGATGTGAACATATATATGAATGACTCTGATGATATGCAGATCGCGGAGATAGAGATCATGATAGCTGAACATAAGAGGTACCTTCCCTATAATACTAAATTACTAATCATGTCACTGTTTTTATCATCTTTGACATCTTCTCTGCATTTGTATTGTTTGCACACATTTTTACTTGGCTTTAATAATCCAATGTGGACATCTTACTTGGATATTTGTTACCTGAATATTTTTGTTGAGAGATCAAACAAATTGTTGCAGCTAATTTATTAGTCCTTTTAACTTTCCATTGTCAGTTGCTTCACTAACCACATCAGTAGCGTAGCATAACCTCTATGTGATAATCCAGTGCAATTATGCTATCTCGTGGCAACTGATTGTGTACTGCTGTACTGCAAGACAGACAAAATCTACTTATCACATGAATCTGTTCTCTATCTCATTTGCTCCTTGGCTCATGGTCCTTTTTTTTTGTCAGGATCTTGTTTTTATGTAGTGATAAAGTAGTTGAAGCAATAATTACATGTCACATGAAAGTAAAGTAGATGCTGAACTAGGGATAAAAAGGGGATGTTTTGCCATGAGACGGAGGTACTGTCTGGTCGTGTTAACTAAAACTTCCACTTTTCCTTGTTGCAGCCGTGGAAAGGGAATTGGTCAAGAAGCAATCTTACTGATGATGGCATTTGCAGTAGAGAAATATGGAATTCACACATTCAGGGCAAAAATTAGTGAATCAAATACGGCATCCCTTAAGCTCTTCAGAAAGTTGGTGAGCACCCTCATTTGTCGTAATCTTGTTTGGTCGCTAGTTTGCTTGATCAGAATTATATTTCTTTGGTTTGGATACAGGGCTTCAAGGATGCTTCATACAGTGCGGTGTTTAAGGAGGTATAATCTCACTTTCACAAAGAATCTGTGAGCATTACAAAGAAGTTCATCAGCATTGATGTGCCCTCATTCTTATAGCAAGTAAAAAACAATAGTATTCGTCCGTCGAAATACCAACAATCACTTTAAATCCATCTAAAAGACATCAATTAGTCAAAACTCATATATTCCTTTCAGGTGACTCTGGAGGCAGCTGCTGACTCACTCCCGTTGAGATTTCCTCTAACCATTGGAGACTGGTGACGTCTGACATGCCCCAAGCTAATTCCATGCGGACGGCACAAGAGGCTGATGCTGCTTGTTTGTACTCTCTGACCAAAATTTACTCGGGCTGTAGTGTACGAAAAATTGAATAAAACAGTTGCACAGTTGTGATTCAATTGCATTACGGCATCATGGAACAGGTTGCAGTAATCTGCAGGCAGCATATGGTGTTGAAATCAAACTGGATATATCATTATGTTGCTCACTCATGAATTATGATACGATTTGTAATTCTAGCTACTGTCACTGGTGTTTGTGCATATTTTATCCTCAGCTACAATTTTTTTTCTACTATGAGCTACGGTTTTTTCAGGGTGTGAGCTACGATTATTATATTAGCCAGAAAAAAACAGCAGACATGTTTGGTTTGGCACTTGGGCTCGTAGTTGTCAAGCAGCCCAACCAAGCCCAGCTAATGAGGGATGACATACCGGACCCACGCGTCAGAATCGGTCCTCCCCATTACCACTCCCAAGTCCCGACTTGGGTACAAACCCTTGGGCCTGGCCGCCGCACCCGCCCGGCTGGGCGAACGAAACGGGACAAGATAACGAGACAGCAAGGGGGGAGCAGGGAGCCAAGCCAGGGTTCAGCCACTCAGGAAACAGAGAAGATGGCGGCGAGGCGCGACACCGAGTTGGACGGCGAAGAGCTCGGCGCCGAGGGCTCCAACCCCGTCGGTGGTGGCGCGACTCCGCCGCCCCTAGCCGCAACCCCTGTCGTATGCGTCCTCCGCTCCGCTGGGGACTTCGCTGGCGGCGCCTTCATCGGATCCGTCTTCGGATATGGTACTCCGCCCTACTGCCCATTTCGATTATCAGGGGCCGTCTGGATATTTTCTGCTTTGTGGAATTTTGGTTCTTAGGGCACGTAAAGGATAGAAACACCCTTTTCCCCTACTAGTATATAGTAGTATTTGCCCAAATCATGGCATAGCAAATTAGTATCTTAGCCCTCCTCGGTAGTACTGTTCTCGGTTATAGCTGCATCTCACACGAATCACATGACCACTTAATTTGAAATTTAGATCATTGTTTTATTTGTACAGTGAGCCCCTTATTGCTCTAGTTGCGAAGAGTGCAATCAACATGGTTTAAGTTTTTTAGTTTTACACTAGTGGCTCGTTCCCTTGATATAAAATTCCTTGGATTCCTTCCTTAGGACAAGGCTTGCTCTCTAAGAAGGGTTTTAAGGGCTCATTCAGCAATGCAGGGTCCTCTGCCAAGGTTCGTTTATCATAGTTTTTGTTTCTTTGATGAAGAAATTGTGATGTGCTTTTCTGACAGCTGTTCATATAACACAAAATGTCTTGGATTAGACTTTTGCAGTTCTCTCTGGAGTTCAGAGTTTGGTCGTGTGCTTGTTGCGAAGGCTACGTGGGAAAGATGACAGTATGTATATACCTTGTTAGCCGGCCATATATTTGTTAACATATCTGAACTTGGATGTGTAATATGAACTGACATGTTCTGTTGGCAGTTGTCAATGCTGGTATAGCTGGTTGTTGTACTGGTGTTGCTTTGAGCTTTCCAGGTATTTACATTGAACTTTTTTTTTTTTTTTACTTTTCTTGCTTACTATTGTTCTCATTTCTCTTGGATGAGTATTTGCAGTCTTGGTTGTGTGGTAACTGGTAATCTTGTTGCTGTGTGTAGTGTGTAACTCTCCTCGTCGTTAGATTCATGTGTTCATCTTGGATAGAATATCAGTTATTCATGGAATTTTTATGAGGGTGGATTCATGTGTTCTATGAACTGCTTGGATTGAGATAGCTAGTGTCATGTTTGGTTAGAATTCTATCTTTTGGAGGATGAATCTTAAATGTTCCATTTTTGGTGTACATAGATGCAATTAGAACTTGTGTTCTTGAAAGAATTGGAAGCAATCTATTTCAAGGGTTAGACACTGAGGATGAAATGAAAAAGGGTCCATGAACCTTGCCTCATGAGTTCATCCTGCATTATTTTTACAGTCAGCGAAACTAAATCTTTCTTGCATTGTTTTGCGCTGACTAGTGGTTAGGCCAAGTTTTATCAGATAATTCATTTCTGCTAATGAATTGTGAAGTGGACTAGTGGTTTATAAACATGCTCAGTTGCACATGGTACTCAATTTCATAAATTGCCATCAGCACCTTCTTTGAGAGAAACGATACCCTTCTTTTACAAAGAAAACAAATGTTTTGATAAATCATAGTTTGATGGGGATCGTGACCAGCACTTGGCTAGTGATACACTAGAAACATTTTTATGTGTTTCGCTTGTTAGTTTGCTATGCATGTTTCATTGCTTTCTGGCACTAGCCATGCATAGTGATTATCAATGGCTATAACTGCATTACATTTTAGTGCTCAACTGTTAGTATGTGGCCAGTTGTTTCAAGTTCTGGAGGAAGTGGGTATTTGTCCATGTGCTGCCCTGAACTGCTATTTGGAGTCCCATTATTCTAAAACTCATTCAGTTCTTGGGGATTTTGTCTTATAATAATTATCTTACATGTTTGCTTTTCTTTTATCAGGAGCGCCACAAGCGCTGCTTCAAAGCTGTGCCACCTTTGCAGCATTCTCATGCATTATGGAGGGGCTCAATAAGCAGCAGGCTGCAATGGCTCGGACACTTGGCGAGACTGCCGTGACGGTCGTGCATGAGAAAGGCGGTGTTCTGCCCCCGTTCACGCTGCCACCAATTCTTGATGCATCTGATGCTTTAGCTTCATGCTGCTTAGCGTTAGTAAAGCCTAAGCACTAGACTACATAATAGAGGGCGTGAGAGATGGTGAAGAAAGGTGACATCAATCTTCGGTTCTTTATTGTGTTGACCCTAGCTTATGTAAATTTTGTTTTTGGACGTGTAACGTGCCTAAAATCCAGATTTGCTTCATCTGGCCACTTTTCCCTTGAGATGTGTTAACTTTTGTAGCATGCCCTTGTGGATTCTGCTGGGTCTGGCATATTTATATGGGATAAAGATCATAAATATTTGCCTGAATGTTCGGCTTCTTTTCGGCATTTTGCATAAGTGAAGTCACTGAAGTGACAATTTTTTTTTCAGAATGTAAAGTAGGGATTCTAGTTTTGTTGGGTCACCCAACTACTCGATAAAAAAAAGGTGTTATTGCCCTATATGAGCTAGCCGAGTGTCCCTCTTGGAGAGGTGCCCTTAGTCTCTTGAAGGAGCCGGCCTATCGCTTGTGTCCTCCGCAGGTGCTCTATTATATTGCTCTATAAGTGTATCTTTACAGTGACAAATTTTGGCCTTGACAGTACTGCCTGTATTTTTTTTATCTATTTCCAGTTCCGAAATTTGGCCTCTACAGTATTTCCTGTATTCTCCGTGGGTTAAGCTATCTCCAACAGGCCAAACCCAAATACAAGTCCTATTTTAAGGATTGGGTCACGAACAATCACTGGGTCACCGATCCAAAATTTTCTTTCTCCAACAGCGAACCCAAAATTTCCTCTACAGGAACAAAATATCTACCGTCTGCTCCCCCATTCCTCTCCCTCCAACTCTTCAGAAATCTCTCCCTCTCCATGACCGGCGGCGGTGCACCCGCGCGTGCGCGCGCACTCTCTCCCTCTCCCGATGTGGCAGCGCACCGGCCGGCCTCCAGCGTGGTGGCGCTCCTGACAGGGCCTCGGCGACGGCTAGCCCCCTCCTCGCCCCTCTCCTCCTCCGGACGTGCGCCTCTCTCTCTCTCTCTCTCTCCCTTTCCCTCCACCGGCCCCCACACAGTACTACGCGCCCAAGGCCTCGGTGCGGCCAGGCCTCGGCGGTGTCCACAGCCGCGACCGGGCCTCCGCGGTGCCCGCCCCCCGGCATCGGGCCTCGCCGTCGTCGTCGGGCCCCCCTAGATCCGGCGAGGCAGCCAAGCCGCGCGGCTCCGGAGGTGCTCCCACGGCGCTGCCCGACTCCCTCCCCGCCTCGCCGTCGTCGTCGGGCCCCCCTCGCCGGCGAGCTCCCTCCCTTGCGCGGTCGCGCCGGACTCCCGCTCCCGCCTTGCCTCCTTCACGCCGTCGCGCCACAGAGATATGGGTCGGGGAGAGAGAAGACACTTTTTTATGTTTCCTTTGGGCTGGTAGCCAAAATGCGTCGTGTGGTTGGGTCACCCGTTGGAGCCAGTATTTGATAGGCAAAGCACTGTGCGAGACTCATTTTTAGGTTTGGGTAGCTCTGTTGGAGTCAGTCTTACGAGGGCTAAAGTTTAGCCCGCGTCACATCAGACGTTCGGATGCTAACTAAGAGAATTAAACATGAGCTAATTATAAAACTAATTGCACAAGAGTAGACTAAATAACAAGATGAATCTATTAAGCCTAATTAATCCATCATTAACAAATGTGTCACGATAGCACCACCTTGTCAAATCAGGGTACTCCTAGTTGGTACTCCCTCGGAGCACCACCTTGTCAAATCAGGGTACTCCTAGTTGGTACTCCCTCGGACCCTCTACACGCGTCAAATAAATGTGTTACTGTAGTTCTTTAGCGTGGGTCCCAGCCTATACCGAGTACATCAGCCATCCATCCGTCACCTCCCTGTCATCCACTATGAATAATAAAAAGTAAAAAAAAACAGCCGGGGAAGACGAAAAAATCTCCAGAGGCTTATCCTCTCACGGGTGGTCACAGAGACGGAGGAAACATAACCATCCTCCTCTCCGTCTCCTCGGCTCCCATCTCCCCTGCTCTCATCTCCTTCGCCTCCCCATCTCCCCCGTCTTCCATCTCCTACAACATCGGGCATGGCTGGCGGCGGCGGCGCCCGCCTCAACCGCTTAGCCTGGATCCGCTTGCCGTGCAGTCGGACAAAAAGGCGCAAGGCGCAGTTGGGAGGCAAAGCAGCAGCCAAAGCGATGGGAACCCCGAGCCCGTTGTCAAGCTGGTGGTCCACGACGGCGATGTGGCCTCAAGCATGCCCTCAAGCTGGGGCGGCGACGACGAAGGGACATGCTCCCCCAAGTTAGGGAGCAGCGCCACAATGTTAGTCCGAAGCGTGCCATCGAGGTTGAAGACGGAGGCGACGGCGGCAAATGCAGTCCCAACATGGGTACCTGTGGCTGCGATGGGAGCCAGAAGCACCTCCATCCTCCGGTGGTGCGTTCAAATCCAGAAGGAGCTTGTCCATGTGAACGACCGGTGAATGTTTGAAATGAAACAGGCAAGATTAGCTAGCTGGCTTTATTGGCGTGATGGAAGATTTACAGAATGGCGCGTGCTTCGAATTTTTTGTTTTCTCATGTCTTTGTAAAAAAGCGTGAACTGTATTTTTGGCACCGTCTCGTGCAGTGCGTTTTGTTTGAAGTTAAAAAAACGCCAGCTTAAGTTCGATCAATTAAAAAATATTAATATTTATATATCAAATAAATATCATTAGATTAATTATAAAATATATTTTTACATGAAATTATTTTGGAACCGTAAATATGAATATTATTCACTAGAAATTTGGTCAAACATAGAACTATTTTTATTAGTACGTAACACATAGTCGCGTTCTTGTGTGTAGTTGTATTCTTGCGTGGACGGAGAGTGAGTACCTCTAGTCCTTCCCATTTTCTCCTCTGTGCGTGAGCGTGACGTCAACTATAAAAAGAGCAAAAGAGACCCAGTCTCTTCCCCCAATCCACCCGTGCCCTTTACACCTTCTCCCATGATTCAAACTCTGCCTCTGGAACAAACTCTGCCCCTTTACACCTTCTTCTATGATTCAAAATCTGCCTCTGGAACAAACTCTGCCTCTGGAACAGAGGCTCGCCTTCCCCACCACCGCCGAAATGGAGCACGCTGGTGGCGTCTTCGCTGGGGGCGGGCGCTCCAATGTGGCGGGGTACCTCCGCACCGGCGCCGTAAGCCCTGTGGCTGGTGTCGCTCCGAACCATGTCGTGTGCTCACACGTGAAGTGACCCTCTGTCCCCAAGTCGTGCGGCATCACCTGCTGCGCCGAGCCCTCGTCCTCGGCCACCGGGAGTGCCTTCCTCTCCATCGGCGCCTCAGGCCACGTAGGCTCATTGCTAAATGGGTCTCTCTTCCCCAACTTATCGCGCAGCTCCTACTACACCACCTTCTACACGGAGATATTTGGTGAGAGACCATTATGGGAAGTGGGCTTCGACGGAATGCCATCCCGCAACGAGGCTTCACCAGGATGCCATTATCAAGTGCAACACAACCGCTAGGATGCCATCCGAGGGAATTTAGATCCTTTTATTCCCCTTCTACCCCTCCCTTCTCTCTTTTCCTTTCATGGTCGCGATTGGGACGGACAGAACGGGAGCCATGAACGGATCGAGCTCTTGGGCTCTTCTCCTCCGTCGCCGAGGTACCCCACGGCCGCCCGCTCGATCCGCCTTCCCACGCCTGCCAATCCCCGCAAATCAAGATGCTCCCCATCTCGCCCAGCGCTCCGCGAGCTCCCCCACGCCCGTCCGGCCAAGCTTCTCCAAGCTCTGATGCAGTGCCAGTGACCTTCCCCATGGAATGCAGATGGAGTAACCTTGTTCTGTAAGATTCCTCTTTCTCTTGTATTTCTCTAACTTTCGGTTTGGGAAGCCAATCTGATCACCTCGTCCAATAGGTTTCTAACACGGTATAATTTTTACAATTTGTCCAGTGCTCGATCCGGAGCTCCAAGAGATAGTGTAGATGCGATGAAGAAACTCCAGATATTGGTAGCAATGGTCCTTCTCAGACTTGTAGATGAAACTCCAGATGTTGGCAATTCACGGAAGCATGTGATTTTCTTGGTAGTTCACGGGTCGCAGGGGCATTCTGGAGTCACATTAATTGGGAGGAACTGCAGATTGAAAACACATTTGATAGAGAGGGTGAGGGTATGCTAGATATAATTGATGAGGATCAGTTGTTTCGTCTTTTGGGTTTGAGAGACGAGGGTGATGAGCATGATAAGCCTAGTGAGGTTTGATGCTCAAGTCAGCTTCTTGAGAGGACAAAGACAATGAAAATAGAACTACTGACATTGATATTGACACAACTGGTGCTGCAATTCCAGTTGATGATCATTTGCCTAGGGAAGGACTCTATGCTTATGATCCTAACAACCCTTCTATGGATATTGGCACCGTCTATCCAAACATGCAGGAGTTTAGACTGGCCATGAAACAATTTGCAATAAATAAGGAGTTTGAATACCGCATAGTTAAAATAGATCCGACGAGGTACATTGCCAATTGCATAGATGATGCTTGCTCATGGCATATTAATGGGCGTAGACAACCTGATGGGTCCACCGTGAAGGTGTATAACTATTTACTATTTCCTAACTATATGTCACCATTTTTTGTTTGTATATATCTTATATTTTTTCTATTTGCTTGTTGCAGGTTACAACTTTGATTGCGAAACACGACTGTACTGCTAGCTCAAGGCGGTATACCACCACTCCAACAAGTATCTGGGTGAAATCAAAGGCCATTCAGCACCTAAAGGACGATCCCACCATAGGCGCCAAACAAATGAGGGCAATACTAGAAAAAGAGCACAAATGTAAGATTACCTATGACACCGTATGGAAGGGAAGACAAATGGCCTGTGACAAGTTGTTTGGCACCTGGAAACAAAGCTTCCAAATGTTGTTCAATTGGAGGGCAGAGGTACTGCAGCGATCACCTGGAAGTATCATTGAAATTGACGTAAAACAGGTAGATGGGGAATTGTACTTCCACAGATTTTTTTGTGCATTAAGTCCTTGCATTGAGGGTTTTTTAGAGGGTTGTAGGCCTTATGTTA